CCACAAGTCTTAAAGTTGCCAAGGTTGGACACCCCTGCTCTAAGGCTATTAAAATATTTGATGAATGTGGCCTTGGGAGCCCCACAGAGCCGAACCTGTAACATAAAAAAGCAGGGAAAGCTTGAAAATGAATTCAAAGTTCAAGGCAACCGTGGACAAACAATATAATGAGCGGCGTCAGATTGCATTCTGCACGGAGAACGCAAGGTAAACTCCCGTCTCTCGGCATCCTTTAGAAGTTTGTTTAAAGGAAGAAACACAGGTTCAAAGTGTAATTAAACAGTCTCACCGTCCAATTTAACCAACAAAGATAAAAGAGAAGGCTTAGGTTCCCAAGTTTCTATAATAAACATCGTTAAAGTCTTCTCCGAGATATCGCGGTCTACCTCGAATGAATTTTTTTTTTCCTAATGTTTGATCTCACGGGAATTTTTGCAAGTTTGGGGGAGACAATAGCTGGATGGAGTTTCAGCGGTTGGCAGTTATTTGTGATGTTTTTAGAATGCCCATATCCTTCTGGACGGTGTGCAATGAAATTACTTGGGCTGCGTGTTAACAGGCTGCCTTGTAGCGGTCTAAATAGGCATTCAGGTTAAGTTCACAAAAGAAACGAGAGATTCCCAGGTGATCCAAAACCAAATAATAGTTTAATTTAGCATTATATGGGAACCCAAGTACCTAACAGAGTCTGTTTTGTTGTCTGACTTAACCGTTTGTACGGAGTCTTGCAGAAAGATTGCAGAAAGTACGACTTCAGCAACAAGAGTGGTCAATGCTTGGAATGTAGTACCTGACTCTAACCCCCACTCCTTTAACCTCAAACTATCCACAATTGACCTCACCCCATTCCTAAGAGGTCTGTAAGGGGTGTGCACCATCGTGCCTACTGTCCCTGTCCTATTGTCCCCATTTATTGGTACCTATTTCCTGCATTCTTACTCATGTTTATACTTGTAAGCGACTGACAAATCAAATCAATAAATGTGGTTTAGGCAACTGACCACCAGAAGGCAGGAGAAGCAGCAATGGATGGAAACTAATCAAGGAGAGAAGCAACCTAGAACTAAGGAGAAATTTCTTGACAGTGAAAATAATTAACCAGTGGAACAGTTTAACTTCCAGAAGTTGTGCGGGTTCCGATACTGGAGGTTTTCAAGAAGAGATTGGACAGTCTGAAATGGCATAGGGTTTCCTGACTGAGCAGGGTGTTGGACTAGCAGACCTCCCAAGGTCCTTTCCACCTCTGTTATTCTGTTAACTTCCCAGGAATTTCAGAGAAAACCATCTTTCTTAACCATCTGTAGACACACCCTGCCTCTTCCCCAAATTCTATGGCTTCCCGCACCAGATACTCAAATAAGGTGTGAGGCAAAGGTAAGTTTCTTACAATTTATTCAGGGCTAGATTTTAATACAACAAAACGTTTTGGTGGCTAGAAGCCTGGAAGAAGTGACTTCAGCAGTTATGTTTGACTTGCTCACTGTTAAAACAAACAATAAAGTCCATCAGATGGTGAGACTAAGGAAGTAAGAGTAGGAAGGAAGTGATGTGCGGGGAGGGGGGAAATGACAAAAAACAAAAACAAAACCTCAGCAGTTCAACAGGACTGCCTCTGTCTCGAACTGCAACTCAGCAAAGTGGATATTTCACCTTTCCCAAAAATGCAGAATGGACGCAGCTGTGATAGGCAACGGTGAAACTTCAGGAAGTGTTTAGACTACAACTCCCATCCTTCCTGCGGGGATGGGAGCTGTAGTTTGACAGCCCCTGGAGAGTTACGCATCGCTAGCAGCGGAATAGAGTTAAGGCAACGGAGCTGGGAAAATTGTCAAGCCAGGGAGAAAAGGAAGAATTAAAAACATGAGCTGTCAATTCTCGACGTCATAATACTGCAATTAAAAAAAACAAAATATCCATTTTGCCTTTTGTTGGTTCCTCTACCATTTGGGTCTTGGGTTCTTCATGAGCACACTGGGCATAAAAAGATTTCTAAGGTTCAGACAGTGCTAAAAAGCAGCTTTGGAAAATCAAGTTTTGAGTTTGGGAGGTTATTTTAGGAAGTCAAAAAGAGGAAGGCTGAAAGTCAGCTTAGAATGAGGAACTGGCAAAGATTTAATCTGGAGTCAATCCAATCCGATCTGGGCATCAAATCAATTCCCTTGGAGAGTTAAATGGCATGTCTCCAAAATCTGCTAAGTTATTTTGGTGTGAGTGCAGGAAAGACCTTTTCTCCATCAGTTTGGACCCTGGGATCAGTTGTCCAGAACCAATTGGAATCCTCCCATCCATTTTTCAAATCCAACCATTTGGATTGTGTTTTTCACATTCTGCACAGCCTACAAACATATCACATTTTTAAAAAGAGAGATTTTAAAAAACGACGGTGCCACATTCCTTCAGTTTCACAAGCTTCCAGTTTTGTACATGTTTGACAGTCAACCATCAGGCCTTTCAACCAAAGGCTATTTTTCTACTTCTCCCAAAAAAATTCAAAACCTAACCAAATGCAGTTCCCCTCCCCCTCCTCCCCCCCCCCCCCAAGGTTAAACTTTTCTATCTGAAAAAAAACATAGGGAAAATGGAATCGTTCCATTCTCTTTCACACAAAGAATAGCAAGGAATACTTGAAAGACATCATTTAAAAGATCCAACTTATTATAATAAAAGAAACCGGGATGGCTGCTTTGGGAGAAAAGCATCTTGAGGGTGGACATCTACCTCCAGAAGCAATAGAAAAGTGTGTATCCCGGCTGCCTTTCCTTAAAAGCTCCTAGCAAAAAACAGAAACACAGTTGCCTCTCTAAAACCATGTCTAGTTTTAGAGACTTTTCCACAGAATAAAACTCAGGTTTCAATCTAATAAATTGGCCAGTGACGCACTGTGGCATTGACAAACGGAAAGGATTGCAAATTTTTGTTCTGGTTCAGACATTCTGGTATTCAATTGCAGGAGTCCTTGATCTTTGCCTGTGGATTATAGGAAAATGAGTTAGTCCTCAAGCTTATAACCACAACATTCCTGCTGCTAAGCGAGACATTTGTGAAGTGGATTTTATCCCGTTTTAACACCTTACTAGACACAGTTGTTAAGGAAACACTGCCGTTGGTAAGCTAGTAACATGGATGTTAAATGAATCTGGCTTCCCCATTGACTGGCCTTGTCAGAAGGTCACAAAAGGGGAATCACATGACCTCAGGACACTGCAACCCTCATAAATATGAGTCAGTTGCCACTTTTTTCAGGGCCATTGTGAACTTTGAACGGTCATTACATGAACTGTTGTAAGTTGAGGACTACCTACAGTTAGCATCTCCACAAAATGTCCACTGAGTAAAAACCACACTAAAAAATTAAAAGGTCTCCCTCATGTCAACTCATAAAATATTTCAATGGTCTTTTTAGAGTTGCCAACAGAAAGGGAGGGGAGAGCAGTGCAGCAGCTTGGAAATCGAAAGTGCATTCCATAAATGTTTTCAAAGATAGTAACTAGGTGACTGAAGTTTCTGCCGTGCAAAATTCTAACTGGAGAGCATGATTGATGACTCTTGGCTATGGAGGTGTCCCATTGGAGAATATGAATTATGATACACCCAGAGGGGTGGGGGGAAAACCAGGGTCAAGGGTGACAATGAATGATGTGCCTCAGAGTCGGCTACACCCAGGCAGTGCCGGACATGTTAACTCCCAATAAATCCATTTGAAGTTTTGGAAGTTTGGCTCGAGACTCATGATTTAATTGGGGTCACTGCCGGAACCCTGACACCTCGCACATCTGTGTTAGTAGTTTCCGTCTCTAGGGGGCGGTGCTCATCTCCGTTACAACGCCAAAGAGCCAGTGCTGTCTGAAAACGTCTCTGTGGTCATGTGGCCAGCATGATTAAATGCTGCAGGTGCACGGAACGCTGTTACCTTCCCACCAAAGTGGTCCCTATTTTTCTATTTGCATTTTTACATGCTTTCAAGCTGCTAAGTTGGCAGAAACTGGGACCAGCAACGGGAGCTCACTCCATTACACGGTGCTAGGGATTCGAACCGCTGAACTGCCAAGCTTTCTGATTGACAAGCTCAGCATCTTAGCCACTGAGCCACCGCGTCCCTAAAACCACCCCGGTGGCCTAGAGATTATTTTTTTTTTCCTGGAAGGACCTGTTTGCAAAGTATCCCCACCTCCCAATTCTACCTCTTCAACAGTAGCTTGATATCCCGGATTATCCAGCTCAAATACTTCTATATGCACTCCTGCATCAGATTCTCTGTTGATTGTAATTTTGCCACGGCGAGCAAGTGCTTTGGGCTTCAAAGAAAAAGAATAAAGCTGTGAGTTAGAATAAGATATAGACATCTTTGGAATTTCTGAAAAGGAGCACCCACTCCCGGAAGCAATTGCAAATGTCCCATCTTTTCTTTAAAACTTCCAGTTTTGGAACATCCACAACTTCTGGAGGAAAGTTGTTGAATTGTTCTCACGGTTAGGAAATTCCTCCTTAGTTCTAGGTTGCTTCTCTCCTTGATTAGTTTCCACCCGTTGCTTCTTGTCCTGCCCTCGGGTGCTTTGGAGAATAGCTTGACTGCCTCTTCTTTGGGGCAGCCCCTGAGATACTGGAACTCTGCTATCCTGTCCCCCGCTAGCCCTTCTTTTCATTAAACTAGCCATACCCAATTTCTGCAACCCTTCTTCATATGTTTTAGCCTCCAGCCCCCTAATCATCTTGGTTGCTCTTCTCGGCACCCTTTCAAAAACCTCAACATCCTTTTTTTAATCTCGTGGCGACCAAAGAACCAGGTTTAGGACTCAAGATTCAGAATATGAATCTGAAGAAGCTTCTCTAGCTGAATCTGTAGGATTGTCAACCTTGGGAGACTCCAAGGCAAGAATTGCCGGGAGGTGATTAAAGTTAGGCCCCACTTGGACAATCAGACGAGGATGATGTAAGGCCACCCAGCCCCTCCCCCACACCCAGAGAGTGGGGAGGAACAGAGCCGAGATGTTTTGTGAGGTCTTTTGTCCAGCAAGGGAGTAAAGCTCTTGATTAGGGCTGCAGCTCTTACCAGCCAAAGGAAAGTAGGGACAGCAATTACAGCAAGAAGAAATATAACGATGAGGACTATAGCATAGACTGGGACACCTGATTTTTTCAAGGAAGGCTCCAGCCCAGCACCTAAGAAATGAAGAAGAAGAAAAAAAAGAATTAAATCAGGTCATACACCCATGGCAAATTCTGTATTAGCTCACACCGTATTATCCCGGAAAGGGTTAAGCAACCTGCCCAAGGTTGCCAGGTTAAGAATGCCCAGCAGCAGCTCCAGTGGGAACCAAAGCCAGGAATTTTAATACTCATGAAGATCTCCAGCTTTTCTTTCTCATCTTCTGCCTTTTGCAAAGCAGCCCACCCCAAGCATTTTCCCCCCAAGAGCCTGAATCCCTGGCTTCAACGGGCTTGAAGAAATGAAAGTTGTAGCCTGAGGTGGTATCCAGCAGGTTCTGAGCAGTTCTGGAGAACCGGTAGAGGAAATTTTGAGTAGTTCGGAGAACCGGCCAAATACCCCCTCTGACTGGTCCCGCCAACCCCATCTATTCTCCGCCTCCCATTGAGTCCCAGTTGATTGGCTGGGTCTTCTTTGGTTGCCCTGAACAGGAGAACGGAGCTGGAAAGCAGGTTAGTGGGGTGGGGAGGGAATGCGGATTTTGCAGTAACCTTCCCCCAGAAGTGGGGTGGTAATGGAGATTTTACAGTACCCTTCCCCTGCCTTGCCCACCAAATCATGCCACACCCACCAAGCCACGCCCACAGAACTGGTAGTAAAAAAAATTGAATCCCACCACTGGTTGTAACCCAACATGGGTTTAGAGGACACTTGATGCTTCCTCTTAGAACAAGAGGTCCAAATGAAATCCTACCTGCCACAGTAAAGGAGAACCGATCCACTTGAAAACTTGAGGAATCTAGGTAATCTTTTGGATTGACTGAAAATGCCAGAGTCTGGAGAACATCCTTGTTGCTTGGCGCCGGTTGCTGGAATATCACATCTCCATAACAAACGAGAGAGCCACCTCTACACAGTTGCAAGAGAAAAGACATGGCTGAAGGAGGTTGATCTAGTTCACACCTGGTGTTAAAACCCAGGTTGCTAATCCCACAGTGACTAGCCAGGTTCACCCACTGCACTAACCCAACATCCAGAAGTCACGTTACGACTCAGTTCTCCGAGCCCAGCCTCTATAGAGGCCCCCAAAGTTGTTGGTTTCAAGAAAAAGCTAACGTTATGGCTTCACCCTAGACTCAAAGAAGACCCTAATAAGAATTCTCCAAATAGGATGGATGCCAGCATGGCCAAATTACTAACTCGGAAGGTGTAAACCAACCAAACAGGTAGATTACTAAATTGAAGAAAAGTGATCTCAGCTGGCATCAGCAACAGGCTACCTAATAAGCAGGCTATGAAAAACAGACAAATTCAGTTAACTTACGTGATCCTACGGATTGCCACTTGGAGAAGATTTTTGTATTTGCCAAGTATTCGTGTCAGCTGGAAAGCAATCATTTTCACAAGGTGAGCCCAGATCAGAGTCCTTCTAAGCCTTACGCATCACCTTTTCAGCTATTACGTCTCATCATTCCAGCTCTAACTTGGCAGTAGTCTCCAAACTTGGCAACTTGTGGACTTCAACTCCCAGAATTTCCCAGCTAGCATGGAATTCTGAGGAATTCTGGGAGTTTGGAAGTCCATAAAACTTAAAGTTGCCATGTTTGGGGAACCCTGCCTTACACCATGTGAACTTTAAAGAAGAAGAATTATCCTGAATTGCTTATCCAGAGCTGAACCTGCCATGCATTTCCAAGCTAAGCTTAGGAAATCTACAGCTTCCAATTTATCATTATCACAAATATTGCAGAGATGAGAAACTTCACCAGAAGAATCTATCATTCAGTCCCTGGTTAGAAAAGAACTACGCAATTAGACCTAAGAAAATTAGACTTTATAATCTATATACCCTTTACTGTTTTAAACAGGCATAGAAACCTCCTACATTCTTTAATGTTCACAATAACGAACACCAAAAAGAGTTTTCAACCAGTTTTGCAACGGATGAATTTAAATTTCCAGTAATCGTTTGTATCTCACCGTATCAGAGAGATCTTTGGCGATGTTCTGACGTTCTACAGAAGAACGCTCCAACATCTTCTCATTGAATATTCTGTTGGTTATCAGGAAGGAAACTGGAAAGACTTGAAGACTCAGCTTGGAACCTAAAATCAGAGAGTTGCACGTAAGGAAAAAGGTACATCTCCCCTGAACCCAAGCTCAGGCCTAAAGTCAGTCATGGATCTGTACCTACTGACCATTGATGGAGAGTGAGATGAGGTCCACGGAGACATTTGAAAGCCCAATCAGTGCCTTGAGAATCCAGTGAACGTCCACGTGACTATCGCTCTTGATGAAGATATTTCCATTTATATCAACACCACCTTGGGTATTTCTGTATGAGAGGAATTATGTTAAGACTTGACTTCCAAGAGAAGTGAAAATTCAGCATTCGATATTCATTTGACTGCAAGCATAGATGATAGATAGATGATAGATAGATAGATAGATAGATAGATAGATAGATAGATAGATAGATAGATAGATAGATAAAATAGATAAGATAGATATAGATGGAGGGAGGGGGAGAGGGAGAGGGAGGGAGAGGGGGAGAGAGGGAGAAAAATGTCCAGACCACTGGAGAATTGATGCTTCCCAGAAAGTTGTTACTTACCGTTTATCAACAAGCGAGATCAAATGAACTGCATATCGGGTTCCAAGCAACAGTTTCATCTGTACAGGCAGAAATTATTGTATCACTGAGTCATAAATTCAGTTTGCAGAGTTAAGAATTAACTCTGCATCTCAACAGAAAAACACTTACGACCTTTATGGGCAAGTTCTTAACTTCTCATCCCTCCCAAAAACTTGGAGCATACTTACAACTCATTAAGCTTAAGGTTTCCTGGCACAGAAGTTCATCAAGGAAAGTTATCTGAGATCTTAGTTTGGAAGCAGTAGACCAAGTATGGGTGCAACCTACCCATTTAAATGCCTGGGGCATTTAATTTAACCAAGCAGGACTGGCTAAACTCATCCTCAATGGCCCTCTCTTCTATCAGGTGTTCTCCATGCCTGTCAGGGGCATTACCATTCCATTACCTTGATCTTCAGACTTTCCAAGTGTTCTTGGACAAAGTTCTTGTCATCAAAGGTTGATATGGACCCCATTTCCAGGAGACTGAAAAATACAGCCAACTTCTCAGGTTCTAGATTTTTCAAGCTGAATCCTAGTGAAAACAGAGGACAATTTTAGGAAGCATGTCAACAAGCAGAAGCATCTTCCCATTACAAATTTAATTACAAATCAACCAATAGATGTAAATCTAACAAATAAATTCCAGGAAGCAAATGAAGTTTGCTACTGCCTTGTTGCAGGAAGGAAATTAAGTTCCTTAACTAAGCCCGTTGTTTATGTAAATGAAGACTCAATCATCCAGGCCGAAAGTATCTAAAAAGGTTAAACCATGGCAACTGGACTAAAGCTGACCATTGCCTGGTGACTCACCATTTGAATGCAAAGATCTCACATCTATCCTCCAGTCAAAAAAGGCATCAATTCTTAGACTCTCAACCCCCGTCACAATTGTCCGTATGATGTCAGATGGGGTGGGAAAAAGGCCCATTCCCTGGAAGACCACCTGGCTCTCCACTATGACAGATCCATTCCTGTGGGACAGAATTCAGGAGAACATCTATAGGCACTTTTTGCAAATGTGGTGGCCTGACCTTCACAACACCTTCCTAGCATGTTAGAATTCCAGGAATTGCCAGCCAGCAGTCCAGGACGTCTAAATGCAACCACTGGAAGGGCCCAGGTGAGACAAAGTTGTATTATGGTTCCATCTCACACATGGTGCCTTTGTCCAGAAAAAAAAAGAGGAAAATCTCTAGAGAGAATACTCTCTGCATATATCACTCCATCTTTCCTGCTACATGGGCAAACAGGACTAATGATGGGTTAGAATTAACATAGATTTTTTTTCCCCAAATGATCCAACTGATTCGAATCTGCAATTGATCTGGTAAACTGTTTCAGAACTTCTGTTCAAAGCATTCAGTTGGGAGAATTCTACATACATGCAAAATCAATTTAGAAAAACCAATGAAAAAAGGGCTATTATTATACCAGCACAGAATCGATTTATTTTATTTTCATTTCATTTATTTATTTATTTTGATTTGTCGGTCACTTACAAGATGATATACGAATAAACATGAGTATGAATACAGGAAATAGGTACAAATAAATGGGGACAATAGGACAGGGATGGTAGGCACGATTGTGTGCTTATGCCCAATTTAAGAGACATTCCTTTCAGAAACCAAGACAGGGCAAAGAACTGCCCAAATCTCCATAGTGGTATTTCATACCCTTGTATCTATCCTTAATTCCATGGGTTTCTTCCTGTCTAGAAACTGAGCGATAAACTTGGCAGCCTACTTACAAGAAACGAAGAACCCTTGCGTGCAGAAAGTTCTGATAGGTAGACAATATCTTCTTTAACTGGAAGCAGAACAATAAAATAGATTGTTAAGGAGCAGTTTTGCCCAGAAGAATGTTAAAAACGTAGGAAGCTGGTAGGGAAAACTCTAGATGGATAATCCATGGATATCGCATAATGTTTCTTTTCTTGTTCAACAACCAACTTTGTTGCAATGGTGGATACCAAGATCCACAAGATCATGAAAGCAAGAGCAGCAAATCTCAGTAAGGTCTCTTTAATGCTAGTCTTGGGGTAAACAAAGACATGGAAATTATATTTTCAACCCTTATTAATAGCAAGTTCATTAAGTTCTGAAGACTAGCCTTCAGAAGTTCTGTGTGCTCCATCACCCAGATGGCTGGAGACTTTTAAGAAGAGCCTAGATAGCCACTTGTTGGAATGGTAAGCTAAGCTGTCAATGGACATCTCACCTTTCTCTTGATTATTTATGTCTCCTCTCCCTTGTCCCAAAGATGCCTTTTCAAGAGGCAACTGGGCTTTCCTGTTTCCTGAGGATACAGACAAACCTCCAAGTGGCCTCAATGACCCCCTAAAAGGAAGCAAATGACCAGCTGTCTACAAGGAATATAAATCCTTCCGTTCCCCACCATCCAGTCAGAGCCGAAGAAGCTTCTTGGATGAGAAGCGAAACGTCTTCAAAGAAAAACCAGAAAGTCCAGTTGCCTCTTGAGAAAAAAGCACTTTTGGGACAACTACGACCTGGATGACTGAGAATCTCCATGGACATTCTCCTTTCCCTTCCACCGTATTCCCAGCCTCCTGTGTGTCAGCTTGGAAGCCATTTTTCTTTGGGGCTTCTGGGCTGCCACATTCAGCGCCTGGGAATTTGGGAGGGGAGATTTCAAGGAGTGGTGGAAGATTAGCCACAACAACATTCCTTTCTCACAGTCAAGGACATGTAACCCTGTACCTGGAGGGGAGTGACTGGGGATAGTCTCCAGTTGGAACGAAGTAATGACTGGACCATGTGATGGATTGTTGGATGTAGGGGTTGGATTTTGGATCCTCTTTGAGCTAAGGATAACCCGGAAATCTCAGATTTGGGGTATTCCTCAGATGTGCCAATAGGACATCTCTAATAAAATGGATCTTTGTGAAAATGATAGTCTTGGAGTCTTTTCCTTTGGAGGTTGTTACTTGGAACGCTGATGCTGTGTTCATACACAAGAGATGAGTGTTGTAGTCCACATTTCCCTTGGTACCTTACATAAACAACCTATGATCTCATATCACACCATATATATAGTCCTTCCTTGCTTCTGCAGGCTTGTTCTGTTGATTACCTTCTAAAAACTTCCTGTACTGACCTTGATGCACAGACAGACTGTTATTTATTTCTCAGCACCAAAAGACCCCACCAGTCTTATGTCATTTACTTCAACCTTATCGTTATTGTGAACAGAGGGGAGGATGAATTGACAGACGCCTGCCAAGAAAAGCAATCTCTCCTGGAAATGCCCTTTGGCAAGCATCTGCAAGTCCTAAATCAGATCACCTTCCTACATGAAAATGTATTTAAGCCAAGAGAAGTCAGGGATGGGACTTCAGGGCAGACCAGGAAGGTGCTACGCTCAAGCTGGCACCAGATGGGGTTCGTCCACAATCTTTTTCAGAGTTCCTCTCTGCAGAAAAGACACTTATGGATCCATTATCTTATCATTTATATCAATAAAAGTTCTGGGGTTCTTTGCCCTGTTGTCTTGAATCCTAAAAGACCTACAATCTCCAACAGTAGGAAATATAAGTGAAAAGTTGCCTGAAGCCATTACTCCAATTGAAGAAGAGAGATTACATGTTTTCACCCTTGAAAATTTAGCTCAATAGTCACAAATATCTTAAGAAGGATACAGAATCAACCTCTGGCAACTTTTGCTGGGTTTCTGATATAGCAAGGAATCTCCTGGAGAACCTCTGCACAACATATTGGATCAATAATCCAGTTTTATATGCAATAGGTTTGTGTCAGGGCCTGCCCCCTTATCCATGAAGAAACTATGGATAGAATTTTCATCTACAGATCAATGCTACCTAGATTAGTGACTGGAGAGACAAAGCTCTCCAAGATCTTCCCCGACTCTAGTTCCTTATGAAAACCAAGCAACATCGCCAATGGTGAGGACCCCATTTGGAATTGCAATCTGATTAAACTCCAGGGGGTAATGTGTCACCTACCTCAGTCTACCTATGTTAGACTGAGGAGCAGCGTTTTCAGAGGCCTTTTCACCCACTCTCTGATGCTTTTTAATATCTCTACACCTAGGTCCTGAAGGTCAGAAACTTGAGCCTCCTGAAAACCCTTTTTTGATCTTTGGAATCCAGAGCTCTCAGGTGTTACCTGGTTACCTGTCATAAAATATCAAGAATTCTGCCAGTTTGCTATCTTTCAATTCATCAAGGGCCACTAAGGAACTGTGGAAACATCGTAGACTGAATCAGTGCAGGAATACCCTAGCAAGAACATCAACATTGGATTATATTCATTTAAAAAAGAAAAGGAAGCTTCCAGGAAGGGAAGGGAAGGGAAGGGAAGGGAAGGGAAGGGAAGGGAAGGGAAGGGAAGGAAGACAATGCTTACTGTTAACTTAATTTCTTTTTCCAGTTTCTTATAACTTTCAGAAGACTTGTTCATCAGGGAGCGTGTGTAATTTATTTTGATGAGACGAAACCACAAAGATAGAACACGCATTGCTGGAACAGTTGAAGCGAATTTACTCGGGGTCAAATTCTCCTTCACTGACTGGTTCAACGGCGAGGTGTTGAATTTGGACCTGGGCTGCTGTGAAGAATGATCGTGTTGGACTCCAGTCACAATTTTTGTTCTGGATAATGTTGTCGTCCCTACCTCTTCGGACCTGGACACCTTGGCATCAGCAAGGGTCACGTTCTTCTCGGGTTCCATTGTACCTAAGATAGCGCTCAAAAACTTTCTAGTCAAGAATGGTTGGGAAGTCATGCTTTGAGATGATATATTCTGAAGTGGTGTGAAGATACTCGCTGGGCAAGAGATGTTCCTACAAGTGGATTTTGACTCAACTGGAAGAGTTCTTTGAATGGTCCACAGCGTAGTTGAAGCAGAAAACATAGGAGTTGCCTGGTTGGATTTGGTCTGCAGGGAAGATGATGGATATGCAGGAACATTAGAATTACTGGATGTGGAGAATCTTGAGCTACGAATGGACAAAGTTGTTCTGCCGATCGTTTGTATATTATTTGCAGTGGAAGTACCTGTGACCTGGTGTCCCAATGCGTTCTCCAGGGTGACCATCACAGAAGAGGTACTTAAGCCAACTCTGGGAACTTTTGTAGGTAAGGACAATGCTATTCCATCCACTGTATTCCTTGACTCTAGAGAAAGGGGTGTGGCACTGAATGACTTTGTACCTGTAGGTATCACCTGCCCTTTTCTAACCAGGTGGCCCTCCGTAATGTTAATAAATGTTTTCGAAGTTGACTCAGGAACACTGATTCTAGGGAAGGGAATGAAGGTAACGCTAGATGATGAAGAGTGGTGAGATGGTGTGACTAAAGATCTATCCAATTCTATCAAACCTGGAAGAGAAACTGTGGGATGAGATTCTGATGGACTGGGAAGCTTCTGTTCAACAGAAGGCCTACCAAAAGACTCCAATGGAGCACTAGTGGTATGTCCTTCTGGAAGATCAGTGTAGGTCAGTCTAGTTGAGGTTGCTCCAATTGGATGTAGAACATCTCCTGTATCTAAATGTGGGAATGATGGAACAGAATCATTTTTTGTGGTACCAAGACTAAATACCTTCATCACCAAGGAATCTGCAATTGTCTCAGGCTGAACACTGGTCAGTTTTCTGACTGAATCAGTTTCCATAGCAGTCAGAGGAGAATTTGAAGTAGGTATCGCTTCCACACTTGCTGTGATCTGTCTCTTTCTTCCATAGTATTGGGTATCTAATAGCTTCCCATAATCAGTAGTGTGGGCTGTAGTTTCCAACAGATCGGTCTGAAAGGAAACTCGGAGTCTGGTTTTAGCATTTCCAGAAAGCAGCGTGCTAAATGGTGAAGAAGTCTGATGGTTCAAGAAATGGACACTGATACTGGTTGTATCAGTTTCACCTTTTGAGAGGGTACTCACTGTAGGATCAATGTAACCTTCAACTATGGAAGAAGCGTTGCCCTTTGGTTCCAGTTTGATTACTTCCACAAGGGAGCTATTTAGCCTGTTATGAGAAGTCAAGGAGACTTCATCTTCTTTTGAAGTTCCAAAAGATGAAGTTGTTGGAAAGCTTTCGCTGTGTTCTTTCAACACAGAACTCTGTGGATTGGCTTCCTTCAGAAGGCCAACAGTTGCAGTTGCAAAAGGAAGCTGTGCCACTCCAAGTGAAACTTTGTGCCTTGGTGTCGTGGCTACAGACGAAGGAATAGTATCAGTAGGGCCTGGCACCATCTGATCGCTCTCATTATTAGCCACATCAAGAGAAAACTCCAATGGAGATGAGCCTGCTGGACTGGAATTTGTCAATGGCATCATGAAACTGACTTCAAGCTGTTGAGATCCCTGCCAGATGGAATCCGATGTCGATTGTTGGGCTGAAGAACTCACTCCTGTAACTAAGCTACGGATAGTCGGTGAGGCTGTGACCCTTTCTTCCGAAGGATGGATTGCTGTGGAATTCTCTTGATCAAGATGGGATCTAGCAATTGCAACGGATGGAGGGAAAACCTCATGGAGCTCAACCCTTCTGGAAATACGTCCACGTGAAGACAAACTGAGGCTCAGAGGTTCCATCTGCTGTTGAGTGGGAACCCCACTGGTCTCTTCTGACTGATATTTTGTCGAGGTAGCAGATGTAGGCATAGCAACATGAGCGGTGGTTTCAACGGGGTATCTAGCAGAGACCCAAAGGGAGGAGAAAGGATGAGTTACAGGAATGATGACATCTGTTGGGGTAGCAACCAATCCAGCAGTATCATATTCTTCATTATACTTGGCTGTCTGGTCAAAGGAGGTCTTTCTTGAGTTGGGCACATGAGATGGAATAGAAGTGGGACCTGATAAGTTATGGCTATGAGATATGAAAAACTTGGAAGCATCAGAGCTTTGAGCTATTCCTTCAATACTTGATGGGAGAAACCTTGATCTTCCCTCAATGGTGCCAAGAGATTCTGTTCCAGTAGAAGAAACCATATCCTGAAGACTTGTACCCATGGAATGAACGCTGGCTAATGTTGAGTAAGATCTTCTGATGCTCTTTCTGTCATCACTGAGAGCATCAAGATGTTGAGGAGGGGAGATATGAGACTGGCTGGCATTTCTCTGGCTTACACCAGTTTGATTAAATAACCTGCTAAAAGGCAAGTCTGTTTTGGGTTGGCCCCACTGGGCATGTCCGAGATTTGTGGGTTTCTCAGTAGAGATGGTCGTGACATTGCCAGTTGGCCAACCAATAGCAGAAACTGTATTTAAAAAGCTTTGATCTTCCTTGCTGGCAGCAGTGGTGAAGAAAAGAAGAATGAAGAAGAGAATGGGCCACCTTGGTCTTCTGTGGGCAAAGGGCTGGTCTGCAGGCTGAGGTCCTCCTGTCCCTTGGCATGCTGTAGTAGAGGAACCCAACATGGCTGCTTCACTGTGAAACAACAGGAAGTAAAAGTTATGTGAGCAAATGTGCGATTTTCCAGAATATTCTTCCTCAAATCAAATTGGGAGCAACTAAAATACAACTCCTAAACTCCCTTTTTGTGATCCCTTCCAAGCCAAGTAACTCAATTTTGGAGGGTTTTTGCAACACGCAAATGTATTTAGCTAGCTTGGGCCCCATTAGATTGTACGAACTTGCAAGCCCCAAACATCCTAACTGGCAAGTTTTAGGTTGTATGTGAATGCATAAGCCACCTTCCATTGCAATGAGTAATCTGCAATTTTATCTGTTTGGGGATAGCAAACTTTCCTCCCTGAGGGGCCTGTCTGGACTGCAAGTCCCATCTTCCTCAGCCATTATGGCCAACAGCCTTGCAGGCTTGAGACCAAGAATTGAATCTTCTGGATTATGTAAGCAAGCACCTTTTTTCTTCCTCTAAAAAAACTAGCCTTGGAAGCTAAGCAGGGAAAGAACAGATTAATTCAGGGATGGGAGGTCACTGTCAAGATTTGAGACAGAAAAACTATCTCCAATAAAAAGATGTTTTGGCTTCAAGAAAAAAGCAAAATATCTTCAAGAAAAAAAGAGGAAAAAAAACAAGTTCCGTTGCCTTTTGAAAAAGCACCTTGTAGCAAACGGATCTTCTTCTTTTTTTAAGCCAAACCCTGCTTCTAATCTCGCAGATCCCCAAATGCTGGCTAGAGAAAAGTAAGCTAGAGAATTGTGGCTTAAGGGAAATTGGTTCAAACTGGTGGAAGGAAAGCAGCAAAGGAGAGGGCAGAACGCTGCTTCCCCAAAATGTGTCCTTCGTTACATAAATCACAAAATCCTTATTTAAATGCTGCCCTTGTTGGGTAATATAGGGTTCGTGCGTTAACCAAAGGAAAGAATATCAACTTTTCCCCATTTTTTTGATCATTTACTCGGGTTTGAGAAAGAGTAGGATAAAGCAACTGGCCTGGGAGGGCGCAGAAAACAGGGAGAGTCTGGAGAAAGAAAGGGGCGCGCAGCAATACTTGTGAATCAGATCCTCAGAAATGTGGTCTCTGGAAGGGATCCAATGCTTTTGGGTCCCACGCGCCCCAGCGCGCGCACTCCCATAGCCACAGGGGGAATCACGCTGGGGGGGGGGAGGTTCCCGCTCTTGCACCCTCGGCCCAGAGACACGCGCACCCCAATCCTTCAAGGCCCCTTGCGCTGAATCCGGAGGCACCTGCTACCTAAATGCCTCTCATTCTTGGCAAGGCCTTAGCAAGCAGCCTTGCTCCAAAAGCGACTCGCCACGCGCGCACGGCGCACTACAACAGCCAATGAGGCAGGCAGGCAGACACATGGGGATTGTAGTCCCCAAGCCTTAGGAAAGGCTGCTTCGGGGGGGGGGAAACACCCCCACAATGCACAGGAGGCGAGTTGAAATGCCCCGCACCTGGGCCCCCCTTCCCAGCCAAACGCCCCCCCAACTCTTACCTGCGACCTGGAGCGAGGCGAAGGAACCTGCGCCCCTCCTAAACGCCTAATTGCGAACGATTTGGTGGGCGGGCCTCTCTCGGATTCCCAGGAGGCCAATTAGCACCTTTTAGGCGACCGAGGGGCGCCTCGGGAGGGGCTGAGGGAAGAGGGCAGGTGGAGGAGAGCTAGCCAAACTAAGTTTGGCTTCTTTGCGCAGGCTGGTTGCAGAATAAATGAATGAATAAATGAAGGACTCTGGAAAGTAAAACAAAGCCAATTTTTTGAAGCCTTTGCGCGGCAGGATTGCCAACTTACTGGCTGGGGCCTGCACCTACGCCTTTACCAAATGCCAGCAGGGACCACTCCGTGCCTTAAGTCAGTGCTTCAGTCAGTGCTTGGGTAAATCGCCCAACATGGGGTAAAATTGGCTTTCCTTTGCATGGCCCATCACAATAGGAATATATTAAATGGACTTAGATTAAAAGGAAAAAGTTAAGTGCCTTTACATCAAATGCCCCAACTTCTAAGTGTGTGGCGAGCAGCCTTGCACCCCAATTCTGCCCTCTGCCAACTGTTGAAGTTCAGCCTAAGGAAAGCTAACCTGGGACTCTCTGAATCAGAGGCAACTTTTAAACGTGACAACTTTTATGACTTGTGGAGTTCAACTCCCAGAATTCTCCAGCCAGCAGAGCAATTCTGGGGAGTTGAAGTCCACAAGTCTTAAAAGTTGCCAAGTTTGGGGCAACCCCTGTTCTGAATGGTTGAAAGTTAAACCCTCCTTTCTCAAACTTGGCCATTTCCAGGTGGAGAGACTTCCAATCCCCAGACTTGTCATTAATGGCCACCCTGATTATGGAATTCGGGGATTTGGAATCCACATAATTGCCAAGATTAATGAATGATGGTTTAAACTCATCATACTGATAGAAAAGAATATTTGTAGCTCAGGGTTGGATTGTGGAGTCCTCAGAGCTCTCAGAGCTTGGTTATGTTCTTGCAGACATTTTATTACCAAACTAGGTAACATCATCAGTGCTAGAAGGGGGGTGAGGTTTGCTCTGATGTTTAGATAGTGGCTTGCCTTCTCAGTGTTGGTGGTATCATCTTGGTGGTTCTTTCATTAGGCTGTGGTTTACTGTTATCTTGGTTGTCTGCATTGGTAGTTCCTTGCTTGGGGTATTTTTTACTTCTTATTTGTTGGTCTAGTTTGGTGTTGATCTCTCTTCATCTGAGTGTTGATTTTTGGTGAGGTGTTTTTGGTGTTTTTGTTTATTTTTTGTTTGGCTTTTATTTATTTAGGAACTTTATATTGCTGCCTCTTCACACATGGCGACTCAAGATGGCTTATAGGTATATAAAAACCTCATATGTAAAACAATAAAACTAATAGAAGAGAAATAACATATAATAAATTAGTATATCTGCACTCTTTACTGCTTTTGCTCTATTAGTGTTCATTTTTACCTTCTTTAAAAAAATTATAAAGGAAAGCTTGCTATTATTTGCTTCTATGTTGACGTGCTTTCTGCTATTATGTATCTTAAGATGGAAGAATCCAGAACAATAATTCCATTCAAAATAAACAGAAGTGGAAACAGGTTAAGAAAGATTATAACTTGGAGAGACGAAGAATCCCAAACTCCACTTAAAAGAAGTTATCCAAATTTTTTGTCACTCTTACATAAGCTAGCTAAGACATCCAGAAGAAGAACAAAGGAAAATGCAAATCGTTCAAGTAGATCCTGGAATGTTGGGTTTTGTGGGGTTGTTGTTGTTGTTTTTTTGAACCATTAAAAAAAAAACCTCAAAAGTTTAACAAAGATTGTGAGTTGATGAGAATAGACCTAAAGAGATTTAAAAGACTGGAGGGCTGAATTTGGAAGAAAAGGAAGTCTCTCTTTTAAAAAAGGCTTTGTACGAATTCTGGTTTGTTTCTCTACAAAAGCAAATTGGGATTTTTTAAAAAAAAAATTGAAACTTTTTAAAAGTTTACACTGAATGCATCTAAAGGCTTAATTGTCATGTTTGGAATTAAGCAGAGACAAAGTTCTTATCATAGTGATTGTGTTAACAAGGCAAAGGTTCCCCTGGCCCATGTGTGCTAGTCCTTTCCAGTTGTGTTAATAGCTGCAAGCAATTCCCTAGCAGGGCCATAAATCTTGGGTGAATGGTTGTTAATCTCTTCTGATTGTTTGCATCTCTAAGCTTCCCTGTGACTTCATCATTTATTCTTCTTCTCTGTTCCCCCTCTGGCCTCGGCTCCAGGCCAAGAATACAACTCTCACAATAATAATATATGTATATGAGGCCTCCAGGCCAAGAATACAACACTCACAATAATATATATATATGAGGATATCGGCTGTAATCCACCGTTAAGTCACAGAACAGCCCCGTTAAGATGGATTTTTGCTGCAAAAAGCTCTTTGGATGGATTTGGTAAATATTTTAAGACTGGTTTACTCAAATCCCACCTTTACTATTTTTATAAACATACCTAATACTTCCTCCTCCTCCTGGTTTTCATCACAACAACCTTGTGAAGTGGGTTGGGCTGAGAGAGAGAGAGGGACTGGCCGAGCCACCCAGCCAGCTTTCATGCCTAAGATAGGACTAGAACTCACCATCTCCTGATCTCTAACCTTGTGCCTTCCCTACTAGTCCGAACTGGCTGGTTGGCTACCTCTTCCTCTGCCCCTCCATCCATTCATTAATAAGGAACACAAGAAGTGATTATAATAATTCTCATCAAAGGTCCATTTAGTCCATTCATTATAGATTGGAAGAGATCCCTACAAAGTCCCCGTAGGTGGCCATTCAAAAGCCAGTTAAACACCTCCAGCCAAGGTGAATCCATCTCTCGAGAAAATCTGTTCCACCGTTAAATCATTTTTAGCAGTATTAGCAGTAGGGCCAGTCTAATCTAGTGGTTAAGGCACTAGAAACCAGGAGACTCGTGAGTTCTAGTCCTGCCTTAGGCATCAAAGCTAGCTGGGTGACGTTGGGCCAACCACCAGGAGACCGGGAGTTCTAGTCCTGCCTTAGGCAGGAAAGCCAGCTGGGTGGCTGGGCCAGTCCCTGTCTCTCAGCCCAACCCACTTCACTGTCTCCTGGCCAATCACCAGGAGACAGGAGTTCTAGTTCTGCCTTAGGCATCAAAGCTGCCTGGGTGACGTTGCGCCAATCACCAGATGGGGAGTTCTAGTCCTGGCTTAAGCATCAAAACTGCCTGGGTGACGTTGGGCCAATCACCAGGAGACTTGTGAGTTCTAGTCCCACCTTAGGCATTAAATCTGGCTAGGTGACTTTGGGCCAATCACTAGGAGATGGGGAGTTCTAGTCCTGCCTTAGGTATGAAAGCCAGCTGGGTGACTTTGGGTGAATCCCCAGGCAATGGTGAGTTCTAGTCCTGCCTTAGGTGACTTTGAGCCAGTTATGCTCTCTCAGCCCACCAAATCCCAAATGTTGTGAGGAAATACAGGAGGAGGAAGGAATATTAGGCATGTTCACCACCTTGAGTTGTTTATTAAAAACAAATAAAGGCAGAGTATCGCTCAAATAAATAAATAAAGGCAGGCTGTGACCATTATTAGCTTCATTTCTTTGATAAATTCAGGGGTTGCCTTTCCCAGAGTGAGTGGTTGGATGCCACTTCTGTGAATTGACTCATTTTAATTCCCAAACATCAGAAGCTCTCTACTTTCCTAGCACCTTGGATAGGTTTCTCAAACCGACTGGCCCCCACCGAGTTTTGCTTCCGAGGGAACAATCGACGGAGACAGCAAGAGAAGTCGCGAAGTCACCACTTCCAAAACAGTGGTTTTAATTTTAATGAAGCACCTCTTAAAAACTGCATCCTGACCGAAAGGTGGGGTGAGGGGAAATAATTAAATACAAAAGCCAATATATAGGCTCCCGGTTTATGTACAACATTTACAGTATGATGCATTCGTTTCTCTATGGCAGCACGGTACAATTTTGTCTTAATTTTGCTTTCTCGTCTGGAAGGAAGGGGCGAGGCAAGGAAGGACCGGTGGGTCCCCTCACCTCACCCCACCCCCATCTGAACTTGCCTGCTCAACAGAGAGACACACAATTTTGAAACAAGGTGGAAACACACAACATCCTCGGAGCAGAAAAACATCCAAACTGCACCAGCTGTACATTCAAGATATGAACGAGGCCTTCTTCGGTTGGTAACTTAGCACCGATTTATCAATTTGGCCAGAATTGGTGGAATGGACACGTTGGGCAAGTGCCCTCACAACATGGTACAAACAGGAGAAGAACATCTTCCAAAATTGTCCCCAGCTCATTTTTACAAACAAACCTGAGGGAGCTTTTAGAAATATTTCTTTTTTTTTTCTTCCTCTTCTTCTTCTTCTTCTTCGCTCTTCTTCATTTTTGATTCTCCAAGCTCCATTTCTCAGAAATGAACTTTTAAAAAAAAAATTACCTTGACCTGAGGGGCTGCAAAGGAGATTTGACCTATCTGTGTTTTATCCTTCCCTCTTTTTTTTTTTTTTTTTTTAAAGACACAGTAAGCTCTTGGAGCTTCAAAAAAAGAAAAGTCATTTAAACTGAAATATCTGCTATCCGGTATTGAAAATTACATTTACAAAGGTCATGGACAAAAGTGTCCAACAAGAAGCCTATAAAAAAATTAACTGAAAGTCAAAACACCCTTGAAACCAGCAGCAATTCCTTATAAAGGCAACATAAATCACATTTCTAAAATGTGCCATATTTATGCCCCTCAGGGTTGGGGAAAACAGCACGGCCCTCCAAAAATGAAAACTGAAACACACGGGGTGTGGTTTTGTTTCATGGTTTGAAAGTGTATGAACCTGGTCATGTCACTTTTTTAAAATACAGCTCCTTTTTTTATATATAACTACAGGTGTAGTTTTCTTTGAACTGTATCTCATCAAGTGGGTTACGGGACTTCCTCAAGTGGAATTTATTTTGGTTGTCCTTGAGTTACTATCACAACTGGGACCAGAATTTCTGTCACTAAGCAAGATGGTTGTTAAATGACATTTTTTTCCCCTCAGTTTAAGCAAAGCGCTGTATTTCTTAAGCGAATCATACAGTCGGTAAATGAACCCGACCTTCTCAATCGGGGAAGCTTAACAAATTGCAGTGGTTCACTTAACAACCAGGGCAAAAAGGTGGTAAAAATCAGACCCAACTCGATTAAACAACCGCCTTACTTAGCAACGTAAATCATGGCTTTCCCATAATTCCCTCGGACAAGCATCATTCTAAAGACACTCTGGGAATTGGACAATGTCTTGGGATGTCCTGAGAGTCTGTCCCACCCATGGAGAAGATCTGTAAAGGGTACCAGTGAGATTCGTATTTCACTTCTGGTTTCAGACAATAGGAAGACATTTTGTAAACCCAGCGGTGGTTCAAAGCATTGTTCAAAACCCTGAAAGCTACTCCAGGCGTGGTTTCTGGAAGTGTTATGGGGCCCTGAGGTATGGAGCAGTGGTGGTATGCTACCGGTTCAGATTGGTTCGGCTGAACCGGTAGTAAAAAAAAGCCGCCGCCGATCAGCTGAGAGGAGGGGAAAAAAGCCGATCATCAGCTGAGGGGATAAAGAAGAGAAAAGCTCTCCCACCGGCCCCTGCGCTTCTCTCTTCTTTATCCCCTCAGCTGATTGGCGCTGCAGGCCTCAGCTGGTGTGGGGTAAGTAAGCCAACGTGTGTCAGGATGAAGTTGTGTCAGATGTAGGGAGGCCATTTTAATCTTGAAGCCTGTTGACACTTTCAGCTGTGTTCCAATCCGACAGACAGTTGGGTGAATAAAATCTCCCCCTCTTTCCCTCTCAATTTGACACACACACACACAAACACACAAACACACACACACATTTACTCATTCTTCCAGCTCCACCCAACCTTTCTTATAATCCTGCAGAATCTCGAGGTAATATTGCCACTCTGGCTCGCTGTCATATTTCACCTCATAAACTGTCTTCAAAGGGTTCTTGTGGGGTTTGTGAATGCGAAGCACCACGCCTTGATACCAGGCCTCTGTCTTGTCCTTCTCCTCATACAAGTGCCTGATCCTCTTCCCAACAAGTTCTGGATACTCAGAGGGCAAGGAAGAAACCTTGGCACGACTGTGTCTCCGGCGCTTGAAACGCTTTAGGAGCAGCGGTGGTGGGACTTTCTTCCCCTTCCCTGAAGGACCAAGTATCTGAGGTCCTTGAATGTCCTGAAGAGCGTTCTGGAATTGGATGTGAACCATGGATTTTCGGAGGTGAAGGATCTCGGAAGCCCTGGTGGTCCTGCTAGCGACCTTCGCCGTCAATTTAAGCTTGAGAGTCCTTGGCTGTTTATGGGATGGCCTCCTAGCACCAGGACAAAGAGCGGATCCCTCAGTCTCCAAGGCCGCATCTTCCTTAGGAAGCACCTTCATCCCCGTTAGCACACAACCACGTTGTAGAGAAGGTGAGGAACATCTGGCCAGGGTCTCTTTATCTTCTGGTTGGAGAGTCTCATAATGCAAGGACGTAGTCCCCAAAGAGGCTGCCAATCCACATGTCTTGCCTTTGGTATTCTTCTCTGGGAAGTTCTGGTCAAGAGACTCGGTAGTTGCATCTGTTCCTAACGCCTCAACATCACTGTTTGGGATCAACTTCGCAGGATCCTCTGGGAAAACGAAAAGCACAAGAACAGTCAACCAAACGAGCATCTTCATTCAAAAAAAAAAAATGCTGTCCACAGTTGAGATCCTAAACTCCTCTTCCAACAGTTCAATAGCTCTCCTCCGTTCTCCAACTAATCCAAAACTGTTCTAAAGGGAGAATGGATCCCACTGGACAACTTCTAAAACTCACTTCATTTCAGATGATGGGTTAGGAGATTCTTGGGTGACATCCCCATCCCCCCAAAAATCCCTTCATCTCAGAGCTGTGTCTTAACAAAACCAAGATCTCTAGATGTGTTGGGATTACAGTTTCCAGAATTCCAGAAAAAAGGAAGTATAATCTCAACACACGTTTTGAAGAAGACACCAAATTCTCCAAGATTGTCTTAATCAAGAGGTCCCCAAATATGCCTTCTCCTCTTCTGATGCTCTAGGACAGTGATCCCAAACCTTTCTTATGCCGCGGCCCGGTATCCCCAACCTTTTTTATGGCGCGGCCCGGTACCGGCATTAGCTGGGCGTCGCCATCTTTTTTTGATGAAAAAGTGCTTCCAGTGAGCTTTCTACCCGGAAAAGCTCACCGGAAGCACTTTTTAATAAAAAAAAAGATGGTGGAGCCCAGCAAACCAGCGGCCCGGTAGGACTTGTTCCGCGGACCGGTGGTTGGGGACCCCTGCTCTAGGAGATATCACCCTGCAGCCCAAGCGCCAAGGATTGTTCTGTCGGTCTGTCTATCCTACCCCTTTCTGTCCCTCTTATCATCATCATCTGTCTCTCATTCTCTCTAATCTATCTCTCTACCTACCTACCTACCTACCTACCTGCCTGCCTACCTATCTCTATATCTATTCATCTGAAATCAGAACAGCCATTGCTCTTCTGTACATCAGATGTCTAGTAATCCAGGAAAGCCAAAGACCAAAAAAAGATAAAATAAAACCCCACTATTTACTGACAAGATGCTTTTGTGCTTGCCTCTGGTTCGCAGAAGCATCATGTGCCGTTTGAAATGTGTTTCAGGAGCACCTTCAGCCCTGCCTAGCTATAATTGCTAACCTCCAAGACCTTGTATTTTCCACAAAAGGCACCTGTAATGGTATCGGAGAATGACTTTGGAAAACAGGAGAAAGAGACGCAGCCGAGACAACCGTCTGATCAACAAAATCTGAGTCTGAAGAAAAAAGGGACTGGAGAAAGTGACTCAAAATGGGAACCACCTTAGTTTGGGGACAGTAAAAGTGAGAAAAAGGAGGGGCCCTGTATGGTTGCAAGACTGATGCAAGGCAGTCCAGGCAGGAAGCACAAACAGGAACACTAGCTCCGTCTTTATTGTGAGGTTACTTTAACAGAATCTTGCAAGTCTGAAAGTACCAGGAGGACACAGATAAACCTCCAAGTGGCCTCAACGGCTCTCTAAAAGGATGCAAATGACCAGCTGTTTGCAAGGAATATAAATCCTTCCGTTCCCCACTATCCAGTCGGAGCTGAAGAAGCTTCTTGGATGAGAAGCAAAACGTCTTCAAAACAAAAAACAAAAAAAGTCCAGTTGCCTCCTGAAAAAGCACCTTTGGGACAACCATGACTTGGATGACTGAGAATCCCTACAGATTCTCTAAAAGTACATTTCTTCCCCCATATGTTTACAGTCTAAGAAATGAGGTAGGGTCTGGAGTGAAAACCATTTGAGATGTTTACCCAGCTCCATTCCTTCTGTGGATCCAGCTGCCTCTTATCTGACCATTGTCTTGTCTGTGGCTCTTCCTCCTGTCTGACAAGGCCATTTCCACATACCATACCATCAACTGGTTAGTCTACAAGATTGAAGTATTGCAAGATTCCGTTAATGTAGCCTTAGAATAAAGACAGAACTGGCATTCCTGGGTGGTGCTTCCCATCTGGACTACCTCACAGGGATCACCTCTACCTATCTTGCAAGTCTGAAAGGCCACCTCTTCCTCCTCCCTCATCTTTGCAGTCCAAGAAACTAGAGAGGGTCTCTTTTGAGACATTTGCCCGGCTCCTGTTCCTTCTGGGAGCTAATCTGCCTCTTCTTATCTGTCCATTGCCTAGCGTGCAGCTCTTCCTCCTGTCCCGCAAGGCCATTCCCACATACCATTATAGCACCGAAGCAGCAAGATCGCAAGAAGCCTAGCACCTCAACCTGTGCCCGAAGGCCTTCCATAACTCCAACTAAACCCAGCAGCAATGAGCAAGACGCACCCACACAAAGAATGAATACCTACTTGGAGGTGTGCAGGCGTGCTTGTGAACTTGGACCTGGAAAAAATAAAGGCGTCAAGAATCATCTGAAATGACACTGGCTTGTGGGGGGGACAGTTTGGTCAGAGCTAATGAAAGCAAGGCTGTGAGCATGTGTGGTGGGCAACAGTAGCTAATGTTCCATCTTGCCCAATGCTGTCCACTGCCAGCTTTTCTAATGCAGCACCTTCCTGCTGAACTGAGATTTGAACTTCCAGGCTTCCCAAGCCAAACAGCTGCTATCCGGATAGGACAGGGGGGAAGAAAGAGGTTGTTGAGTTATGGACCTTGGTAGGTTCTTCATCCCTGAATTACAGATAGTCCTCAACTTACGACCACAATTGGAACAGAAACTTCTCTCGCCAAGCAATATGGTTTTTTAAGGTAGCCCGTGCCTAATTTTGGTCATTAAGAGGATCCAGCTCATTGACTTTGCATGTCAGAAAGTCCCCTGGGAAGGGATGCAGGTGGTCATCATGTGACCCCAGGACACTGCAACCATTGTAACTATATGCTGGTTGCCAAGCACCTAAACTTTGATCGCACAAACATCTAGACACAGCAGTGGCCCTGATAAGCGTGAAGATCACTTGTACGTCACTTTTTTTTCCAGCACCATCGTGACTTTGAAGATCCATTCAATGAATGGTCATAAGTCAAGGACTCTCTCACCCAATTCCATGTCTTCTTTGCCAACAGTCTCAGGGCATCCTCCCCTTCAGAGTTTAAGCACAGCCTACTCTCTTAAGATCCCTTTTCCCAGTCCTCTCCCCATTTAGAAAGCAGAATCCCACCAATCTTTGTAGAGTTCGCTAAATCCTGTCTCGGGCATCGACCCTGACCACTATGCCAATTTTCTACCCACATCTCATAAGGAAGACCAACCAAAGCTGTGTCTGTGCAAGTGGGAAAGTACAGTGACCAAAGCCCGGGGAAATCATGAACTTTTGGCAAGACAGAGAAGAGGAAAAAGGACAAAAAAGAAGAGCGTATATTCAGTTCAATGCTTAAGTTTCTAAAGGAGGCCAATTGTCTGCCCTTACCAAGCTGCTGCTTGACACACTCATGCCAATGAAGGGTCAAGAGGTCCAGGTAAATGTCCGGCAGCTGTTTCAAAGCCAGCAGCTTCAACATCCGAGAAGTACAGCTCTTGAGGTCCAAGTCCCTCAACGCCTTCTCTTCAGACAAGGTGGTAGGACGCAGTTCCACCTTGTGGTCCTGCAAGACATGGTCAACCGACACACCAGGAAGATTGGGGAAGAGTTCCTCCTTCACCACATGAATAGGGATGAAGGTGGCGCCAGCTCGCATCACGTGAGGAAAAGGACATTTATTATAGAGCAGGAATATCTCCAGTTGTGACTGCAACTTCTTGACAAGCACCTCTACATCCTTAAAGGCCAACCAGATCTCTTTGCCCTTGGAGAGCTTGGGGCCTTCAGAGACCTTTAAACCATTTTTGGGCTTGGTGGAACTGACCGTCTTCTCCTGCAGCCCCACTGTGGACTCGGACATCTCCAGCCATTCCTTGAGCTGATCAGGGGAGGAGGTAGACACCGAACCAGATATTATGGTGCAGACACAGGAGTGCAACGCGGTGAAATATTGCCTGGGTGGCTTCTTTTGACCAAGAAGTTTTTCAGTGGCAGGATCCAGAACCTGGGTCTCTCGAAGGGCAGGAGATCCAGGAGGGCCACTGGGAAGCAAGAGCGTAGACGCATCGGGCAGTGTAGCATTCAAGCACTTGATCTGCAAGATCAGAGTTTCGGATGGCGTCGCAGTCTGGGGAAGGTTGAGACCAAGCAAGGGGCTGTTTGGCTGAGTTACTTGTGAGTCAGTACCTTTTGGGAGAGAGGCATCCTTGACCCCAGAGGCAGCTTCTGCTGCATGTGCTTTTAGGACTTTGAATTTCTTGAACAGAAATGCCGCGGAGCTGTGGAAATGTCGGCTACCTCTAGCGTCACCGTTGATGGGCAGCACCAAGGTCTCTCCGTTTGCCTGGGAGACAGAACCCTGGCTGTCGGCTGCTTTCTCCTCGACTTCTTCACCTTGGATCTTTGGACCTCCAACATCTGGAGCCTTAGCTTTCTTGCCCGGTTGCAGAAGATCAGGTCTCTCTGCCAAGTCTTCCGTTTTAAAGCTGAGATCCAAGACACGGTCTTCTTGAGAAAGCCTCTCAACTCTACCATCGGAAAGATTGTCAGGGGATGGTTGGCAAGATACAAGATCGGTTGGATTCAGAAGCTGGACCTTGTAGCTTTCCCAAGAGCCAGCATAATCTCCACCCGCTTGTCCTATTGGGAGGTTATTTTTATTCAAGCCAGCATCTCCACTTTTCATTCTTGTATTGTGAGTGGTTCCTTCCTCCCTAGGTAGATTCAGCCTCGATTCTTTGGTTGTTCTTTGAGAGCCTGTCCAAGGCACGCATCCGTTGTCCACACTCTTGCCTCCACTTTTGGGAGGCAACTCCTCGGCCTGACAACGTTTAGTGGCGTCCAGTTCCACCAAATCAGCAGAACCTTCTAAGTAGGCTCGGTATGGAGCTAAACTGAAGACGTTGTTGATAACAGGCATGGGAGGGGAAGACGTTGAGGGACCTTCACGCTGTTTGTGGAGCCCCTCCGGTTGACCCTCCGGGGACCAATGTCCATGAGATGTAGATTGGATGTCAGGAGCCTTCAGAACATTTTTGGGCAGGACTGGTTTGGAGTAGGGATTGTGGGAGATAACCGGGCTATCAGGAACAATTATGCAACCTCCCGGTTCATTATTGTGTGCGTCGATGCTTCTCTTCCTAGATTCATAAGTTAAGGACAAGTTTTTGTGCATCTCAGAAGATTCCTCCTCCTTCTCGGTCACCTTTTCTGGTGGGCAAAGATCCTTCTTGCAACCACTTTCCTCCATCTTTTCAACCCTGTTGTAACAATGAGACAGCCGGTCTACTTGATGAATGGAAGGGAAAGCTTGCAGAGTGGAAGAGTTTGCGCTGGCTTCTCTGGCAACACGGCTACTCTCACACCAGTCTGGAAGGCCACCTCGGCTGCGCCAAGGACTAGAAGCTGAAGCAGGCTTTTCAGGCACAGCACAGGCAGGAGCAGGAGTCTTGGGGGTGAAGTCCCCCTTGGCCGTCGCATTGTGTGAATGCTCGTGTTCCCTTGAAGGGTGAAGCTCTTCAGAGGGGGTCAACGGAGGTGGGCCCATGGCCTGGTAAAAGTAGCTCTCCAGATGCCCGGGATAATAGCTGTGAGAGGTTTGTTGAAAATATGACCTGGGGAACACCTGACCATCTTCATGGCCTGGAGGAGACCCAAAACCTTTACAGGCCGCCAAAGCAAAGACCGAGTTTGTTTTTTCGGCTTGCACGTAGCTCTGATGATACAACAACATCTGTTCGTGAGAAGTGAGAGGGTACGATCCTAGAGGGTAGCATGAAGGTGATCGCTCCTGGTACGCCAGATCCTGGGAATTCAGCAGCAAGCTGGAAGGAGGAGGAGGAGGAGGAAGAGGTGACGGCGGTAGCCTGGACCACATGTGTTTTCTCGAATTGCTACCTGCTGGGGACTCGGAGTTGCTTTTATGGCTGACAGAGGAGTAGCTGGAAGAGCCATTCTGTGCCCCCTGGCATTTCTCCAATGCCTTATGGTAAGGCATGAAGCCAGACGAGTGGACATCGCCCTCTTTGGACCCGTGTCGGAACTGCACCACGCTGTTCTCGGCCACCGAGGTCTTCTTGGACCCGGCTGTGCCGTAACCCCGACTCTCGGCACCCGTGGGCAAAACAGAGGACGGGGAAGACCATTCCAAACGTTTTGAGTAGTTCTCCATCTGCATTCGGAAGGCCAAAGCCCTTTTGGGAGCGTAGCCCGATTCCGCCCCGTATGCGTGGCTTTGGTAAACCGGTTTGGGGGCCGCCAAGGTGGAGCAAGCTGCAGGAGCTGGAGGGAGCTGTTGGGTTGGGTATCCCTGCAGCCAACCTTGCTGGATGACGCCCGCATGACCCACGTAGCTGGCCCACTGTTCTCGGGTGGTACATTCATTGACCTTCTGAGAGCCCGCAAGTCTCTGGCGAGCTTTCAAACTTTCCATTTCAGACTGGCAGGTTGTTTTCTCTGTCCTCGGAGAGCGGTCAGGCGCACCAGCCGGGCAATGGTTGTAGTTCTCGGCCGCTGACCAGTGAGTTAAAGTTTTGGGCGCTTCATGACACGGGAATGGGAAAGTAAAATAGGAGCCTTTGTAACTGTAGTGGTCTTCTGTGGGGAGGTCCGGCAGCCTACTCGACCGGCACAAACCCACCGGGAGGATGTGGGTTGGCTCCCCTTCCAGTCGAGGAAGCTTGCTGTAACTCATGGTGCTCACGGATTCAAGGGTTCGCTTCTCCGCCATTGGGAGATCCTTTCTGGCCAATGGGCTGGGCTAGGAAACGGAGCGATCGCTCGGGTTGTTCTGAAACAGGAAGACAAGGAGGGGGGGAAAAAAAGAATCAGTCTTCACGCTTTCCCGTTCATGGTTATAAACAAATATCTCATATTTTGCACAGTGGTGGGATTCAAAAAACAATTTACTACCAGTGCTTGGTGGGCATGGCAGGAGAAGGATACTGTAAAATCCCCCTTCCCTCCCCCCACCCCACTAACCTGCTTTCCAGCTCCGTTCTCCTGTGCAGGGCAACCAAAGAAGACCCAGCCGATCAGCTGGGACTCAATGGGAGGCGGAGAAGAGATGGGGTTGGCAGGGCCAGTCAGAGGTGGGATTTTCTGGTTCTCCAAATTACTCAAAATTTACGCTACCGGTTCTACAGAACCAGTCAGAACCGGCTGAATACCACCTTTCACTTTGTAGGATCCAATCTGGACCAGACATTTTTGTCTTCCGAGCTTTTGGATTCATACTGGAGCCCGTCCTCAGGGGACTTGAATCCAGCGTAATACCAAAAGCTTGGAAGAGAAAACCAACCCAAATTGGATCCTGCAACAGATTGGATCCTACTTGACCCAGATTAACTCCTACTTGAGGGGTTGCCCCAAAGAAGAGGGGGATCAAATTATTCTCCAAAGCACCAGAAGGGCAGGACAAGAAACAACGGATGGAAACTAACCAAGGAGAGAAGCAACCTGGAATTAAGGAGAGACTTAACAGGGAGGACAATTAACCAGGGGAACGGCTTGCCACCAGAAGTTGTAGTGCTCCATTACTGGATGTTTTTAAGAAAAAACTGGACAACCATTTGTCTGAAATGGTCTAGGGTTTCCTGCTTGAGCAGGGGGTCAGACTAGAAGTCTTCCAAAGTCCCTTCCAGCTCATTCATTCTATTCTATTCTATTCTAACATTGTCCTGGGATATGTATATTCACCTTCATTCATATCGTACTTTGTTTTCCAATTGTTTTCCTCTTTGAACTGACAAAAGACCCCCTAACATCTACTTACGACCCATTTTTCAATGTTACAACAACTGCAAAGCCACACATACACACACACACACACACACACACACACGATGGCATGTTGGGCTCTTGGCCAGCACCCCAAAACTAAGGCAGAATTTATTTTCCCATCTCTCAGATTGCATACAACGCAGGCAAAGAAACCCACAAGACTTCGGCCACTTTTGGGGGAGGCTGATAGGAATTGAAAACCCAAAGCATAAGAAAACATAGAATAACAGTGTTGGAAGGGACTCTGGAGGCCGTCTAGTCCAGTGGTGACCAACCAGTGGGCTGGAGACCACTGATGGTCTGCAAGAAAATTTTGCTGGTCCGCAGAGAAATACCCCCCCCCCAAAGCAATTAATCCAGGCTACGTGGGAACACAAGGCTGCGCCGCCCACATGGCCCGTGGGAACACAAGGCTTGTGTCACTTACATTGCACACGAGGTAGTGAGGGGAGGGGGGAAAGAGCGGAGAGAGGAAACTTGCCCCACTCGCCTCACACGCCTGGCCTGGCCACCGGGCTGCTTCTTTCCGCTTCTTTCTTCTTCAGCTTTTGGCTGCATGCAAGGAAAGCAGCAGAAGTCTTTCTTTCTCTCCTCCAAACTCCGCCAGAAATGAGTCTTTGGGGCCCTGCAAGGCCTCCTGCTCCAAGAGGCTGTGATGGCAAAGACTCGTTTCTGGCAGAGTTTGGGGGAGAGAAAGAAAGACTTCTGCGGCTTCTGCTGTTTTCCTTGCATGAAGCCAAAAGTCAGTCTCTCTCTCCTCTCTCTCTCTCTCTCTCTCTCTCTCTCTCTCTCTCTGTCTCTGTCTCTCTGTCTCTCTCCCCCTGAGAACGGAGCTGGAGACGGTATTCTGCAATTCCAAATAAAGAACGATTGATCAGTAGGAAAACAGGGTGGGGGATTTTCCTGCAGATTTTTTGGGGGGGATTTTCCCAGGTTCTCTGGTCCATTTAAAATTTTAAAAATTATGAATTTAAAATTACGAGTTTGGTGGTCCCTGAGGTCCAAAAGGTTGGCGACCACTGTTCTACTCCAACCCCCTGCTCCAGCAGGAGAATCTATTCCAAATATTAGCCTCTACCTAGGATCGAACTCAACAGACTCCTGATTGCGAGGCGAGAGCTCCCCCTCTAGGCCACCGGAGCTGCATTGGAAGAAGGCATCATGTTCACCCTGAGAACCAGGTTCAAGTTCTGGTAATGCTTGGGAGATATTCCACCTAGTTTTCTTGGCAAGAATGCCGAAGGATTCGTTGTGTGTTAAGATTTTATTTTTTTAATTATTGAAAAACCAATAGGAAATGGGGGGGTTTCCTTGTGGCCTTCCATCCAGTTGGCTAAAACAGGTAGCCCAATATGGGTCCCTCGGCTTAACCCTCCTTCCTGGGTGGGGGAAGGAAGAATTGCAGAGAAGATAAAGAGAAGCGGAGAACCGCTTACAATCCCTGGGCAATTTCGCAGCACGACGCTTCGATTCTCCAGGCTACTGCTCCAAAATACAAGTAGTCCTCGACTTACAACCACCATGGAGCCCAACGTGTCTGCTGTTAAGTGAATGTTTGCCCCATTTTATGACCTTTATTGCCAGTGAATTGCTGCAATGGTTCAGTTAGTAACCCGGTTGTGAAATGAATCTGGCTTCCCCGTTGACTTTGCTTGTCAAAAGGGGATCGCATGACACACACACACACCCCAGGACACAGTGACTGTCATAAATATGAATCAGTTGCCAAACATAGGGAATTTTGACTGGGTGACCATGGGGAAAGGGTGTAACTGTGATGACCCAGGGCATGGTATAAAGGCAAGACAGTCAGATAATCAGTAGGAGTCCCTTTATTAGCTCCAACTTTTCCCCCAATGTCCCGGTCAGCTTCTGGCTGGAGAAAAACTCTCCCAGGAACAGCCTTTGGCTGCAGAGAATCAAGTCCAAAACAGGGTAAACACAAACTGTAACTTTAAGTCCAATCAAGCCAAACTGAGGTAATTAGTCCAGCAGGGCAGGAGCAAGAATTCCACACGTGAAGGAATGGCAGTAATTCAACACGGCTGGGAGGATGCTAGGAACTCAGATAAGCAAAGTCAACACAAGATCAAGTCACATTTGCTTCCAGAAGCTGCTGCACTCAGCATGCATCTCTTTTAAACTCTCTTCCCAGCTGTGGCTAATGAAGGGAATCAGGGCCCTTTCCTCCCCCCTAAGCCACGCAACCCACGTTGCTCTCTTCTCTGTTCCTCTCTACGTGCCCTAGGACGAAGAGGGGGTGGGCCTGGGTCTTCCTCTGAACTCCCTCTCCCTTTTTTCTACTTCTGTCCTGCTCTGCCCAGCTGGACTTTGCCCTTCCCCAGTTTCCCCCACAGCCAAGGGAGCCACACTCCCACTCCCTGTCAGCTGTTCATCTTCCTCCTCGGATTCAATCTCCGACAGGGGCCTGACAGTAACTGTGAAAAATGTTCCTAAAGTCGCTTTATATCCATGCCATTGTAACTTTGAACGGTCGCTAAATGAACCGTTGAGGACTACCTGTATTTGCCAAAATTAACCATCCTTGTAGAGCGTTCCCAATTTTAAAAAAAAAATCCGAAAATCAATAAAGAGTCTAGCCGAAGAATCAGGCCACCTCACCCCTTAAGCTCAGCACGAGACTTCTTGGAAAGGCTTCAAATTGCTTACTTATTAAGATATTTTTGGTTTCTTGGCTTCTCAGAAACTGCCATGTCAGAAGAAAGAGAGGGGGGAGGAGGAGAAGTTATGAGTCAGTCATATCACCAAAGGAGCTTCTCTGTTTGAGCCAAACAAGGTCAGGCTGGAACTCTACAAATATCTCCTTCTACCTCTCGCCCAAAGTTCTCCAACTTCCCCAGAAACTCCTTCCTGGATTCGCTATCTATGCCTCCATAAATAGATTTATTTCTGCTGAATAAAGTAAGAGATCTGCCAATACTCAACCCGTGGCTGAGTTTTTAGATGCCTAGTTCCTTCCTTGCATCTGGGATTAAGGGACTAATGAACTACAATTCCTGAGATCCCTCACCACTGGCGATGCTGGTTGGGTTGCTGGGAAATGTAGTTTGGCAACATCTGGAAGGTCAGATGTTTTTTTCCCCCTTCCTCTTCTTCTACGTGAGCAGCGATGGAAGGATTAAATGGCCCTTTAGGTCACATGCTAGCTGGGGAATTCTGGGAGTTGAAGTCCACACACCTCTTAAAGTTGCAAAACACTGCCATAGACTATGTCTGGCTCTCCCTACGTTCTTACAAACTTTGTTTCTCTGATCTTGAACCAACAAAGCCACTGCCACCAACAGTGGAAGGGCAAACCACTTGTATATAAACAGAGAGCAAATCGCACTCCCTTCTTCTACCACGGATGATGTTCCCTAGTTGGGCCATGAAACGTCTGCAAGCAAACAACCAAACTCAGAGAGCACCACGAACCTCACGTGTCTGTGGAGATTGTCCGTAATTCAGGTCAGCGTTGTCCGAAAAGTGTTTTGTTTTGTTTTTTTGAAAGACAACTGGATATTCTTTGTTTTTTCTTGACGTGTCGGTTTTTCATCCAAGAAGCTTCTTCAGTGAAGAACTGAAGAAACTTGTTGGGTGAGAAGTGAAACGTCTTCAAGGAAAGCCTTTTTAAAAAGCACTTGTGGGACAAGGACCCCACCGTTCAATCCTGAGCTACCAATATTCTTTTCATGGGCAATTTGCCCCAGACAAACATACAGTATTAGCTGTCTTTCCAGGAAGTTTCTCAAACGCAAGAGTTAAGGTTTTTCCAGCACCGTGGCCTAGACCGGGTTTTAGGAGAGTAGGAATGTTGTAATCAGCTTTTATGATCAATGCTGTTTGCTAAGTGATGAGAGAGAGAAGTGGGGAGGGAGGGAGAGAGCGAGAGAGATCCCTTACAAAAAAGAAAGATTAGGAAATTTATTGAGAAGGAGAACTGGCTATATATAGTGAGATATATTCTACCACATGCAGTCAAGAAGGTAAGAATTACAAACTGCAGAAATATTGGAGTTTGCAGCACATCTGACCAGGACACAAGTAAATATTTCAGCAGGATTCATTTATATAAGAAACTTCTTTATAGTCTCTCTCTCTCTCTCCTTCCCTCCCTCCCTCTCTAATCCACCTCACAGGGTTGTTGTTGTGGTGAAATAGGAGGAAAGTATATTGGACATGTTTGCCACCTTGAAGATTTTTTCCACCTGAGGACCCGAGTTGAGAACTCTTGAGACTTACTCAATATTTCATCCTTAGCTATTATTTAGTCTCCTTTTCAATATGTTTATATATTTTGCTGCTTTTAATGCTAATTTTAATCTACTCATAACCGAGTGGCACATGAAAACTTCATAAGCTTGGATTTTTTTTCTCTCTCTCTCCTAATATACCAACCAAGACTGCACTTTTCATCCGTAAACAATCTGAGTTGCCGGTTATTGGGATTAATGTTAGTATACCCTCTTCTCACTTTAGGAAATGTTGAATTAAGCGAGTTCTCTATATTCCTCCATAATACTTAAATCTCTCTTAACCAGGAACTTACTGGCAGGCGAATTCCAGTCCTTTCAGACTAACAAATTATTAAAAGGCATAATGAGCTTCCATTCACAAAACACTTATGCTTTTTAATAACTCCTCTCGCTCTGAGACGCTACCAAATTCTGAACTTGGCAACTACAAACTGACATGGTTCTCATTTCCCAATGTGAGCTAATTAATGAGAATTTCATTGGCATTTTTTAAAGTACGGCATTTAATTGCCCTGAGACTTAAGATTCCCTGGAGTGTTAGACACAACTAATATATTTTTAAATTGTTCTCCTGGGTAGCTTATCTTCCTCTCTTCTTCTTTTTCTTTTAGATTAAAATTTTAGCCCGTCATGATCAATAGAATGGAATGTATTCGCTTATTGCAAACAAAGGTTTCCTTATCTAGAGTGAAACCAGATGTTTTCTTAAATAGGCATTTTATCTTTCCGATCCATATGGTTTTTGCTAAGCATAAAATACGTGCCTTCCTTTACGTATGGTAGGTTTTGGTAGGCGATATATTCATTTGTTTCGATCTCACCTCTTTCCTTTTAGAAGATGGCATTGTTACCGCCATTATACATGCTCTTTCACTGACCCTTAACTTAAATGTTACCGTAAACCTAGAAGAGAAATATTCCAAGGATACATTCCTGGGAGAGAGATTAATCTTAGCAAAGACAGATAAGATTGGGTTGTTGGGGTTGTTGTTGTTTTTTTTTGGGGGTTGTTTTTTTTGCAACATTGCCTCACTTTCCAGAGATCCCTTGCAAAGAATTTATGACTTTGACATCTTAAGACTTCAGGAGTTTAAAATCTGACCTAGTACTCGAAGATCCTGAGAAAACAGAAATGCAAACTGTGTGGTGTCTGCGATTCCTTGCCTATGCAAACCCTTCCCTGTTTGATTTCGTGGCAAGTAGCCCTTGGCTTAAGGACACAAGGGGGAGGCCAGCATTTCCAAGGCAGCTGCTAAGTGCTTGATATTACATTTGGTCATTAAATGGATCATGGCAATTGTTAAGTGATTCCCCCGTTATCTTTGCTTGTCAGATGCCAGCTGGGAAGGTTGCAAATGAAAATCACTTCACCCTTGGACTCCATCAGAAGTACATACCTGTTGAAATTGTCTACATTTTGATCAGATTTTGACCATGGAGATATTGCTGATAGTCGTAAGTGTGAGGATTGCTCAGCAACTGCTCTTTTTTTTTTCAGTGCTGATCTAATTTTGAATGGTCGCAACATGAACGGTTCTAAACTGAGGACTATCTGGACCTTAAACCAAAAGAGAAGATTCCCATTTTCTCTCCCTTTTGCCTCTTTCAACTGGAAACGAGGCCTGTGCATGGCATTAAAACCTGCAGGCTATTGCAGCTGAAACTCATTTAATATATATATTCACTCAAACTGAATATATGGAAATGTTTCTTCTGCGGATATCTTTTCATTTTTGACAGGTTTCCTAGGCAGTTCTTAAAGTTTTGTGTATATGCGTTGTGCGTGGCATAGATAGATAGATAGATAGATAGAGTAGATAGCATAGATAAATACCGTAGATAGATAGATAGATAGATAGAGTAGATAGATACCGTAGATAGATAGATAGATAGATAGATAGATAGATAGATAGATAGATAGATAGATAGATAGATAGATAGATAGATAGATAGATAGGCAGGCAGGCAGGCAGGCAGGCAGGCAGGCAGGCAGGCAGGCAGGCAGGCAGGCAGGCAGGCAGGCAGGCAGGCAGGCAGGCAGGCAGGCAGGCAGGCAAAAAAATAAATAAACAGCAAGGAGCAAATATGTAACTTTTGCCCTCTCTTCCCAATGTAAATAGGAGCATTAAAATGCCTTCAGGGTCTTAAAGGGGAAACAAGACCAATTTCCAAATAGATTTATTTCCCGCCCACCTCACTCCATCCAGAGTGTAAGTCCTACTCTACTAAAGCCAGGGAAGTCTACTCATGAGAAAATAGGCTCAAGATAGCACATGGATACATGTCCCAGATGCATTAACAAGAAAAAGAAAAAAAAAAAGCAGATGCAATATGAACAACTGGGATTCGAAATGCGAGAAAACAAGCCACCTTATTCATCCCTTGACTCTTTTTAAATAGCAGGCGTGTCCAAACCCTGGCCAACTTTAAGACTCAGTGGACTTCAACTCCCAGAACTCCTCTGGCTGGGGGGGGGGGAATTCTGGGAGTTGAAGTCCGCCAGTCTTAAAGTTGCCACGTTTGGACGTGCACCTCTGCTTTGTAGGGTTAGCTTTTTTTTTTTTCAGAGCAAAACTGCAACCAATCCGCGCTGAACGGGTCAGGCTGTCATCCAATCGGCACTCGCTAACTCACAGCAAGTGGCATTTCCTACACACCCTCCACCGCACACACATCACTGTTGTGTACCCAAGCTCTATAGTTACCACAAACATTGCTTTCACAGCTTAACCACTGCTCACAGCTCTACAGGGGGTGCAAAATGTAGCCTTTTAAGAGCAAGCCACGGGTCCTCAAGAGGAACACGCTTTCATGCGTGTGCAAATACACACATCCACACATCCCACCTCTAAATCACCCCACTCCAATCCCTAAATGGCTCAAGGCCACTTTTTGTAGCCCTCCAACCCATAACAGTTGATCTCGGGGGAACAGGTAAAAAAGAAATAGAATAGAATGGGCTGGAAGGGACCTTGGAGGTCTTCTAGTCCAGCCCTCCCTGGCAGGAGAACCTATGCTATCTCAGACAAGTGACTGTCCGGTCTCTTCTTAAAATCTCAACTCATTTAAAACCTTTTGTGAAAGGCAGAAGAAAACCAGCTCGGAAATCTCAAAACGACTCCTTGCAATATGTTGTCAAACACGCAGAAGAAAACCAGTTCTTTTCCCACAGAGGTTAACTCAGGCAGCAAATCCATCAAAATAAACGCAGAGAGAAGTTCCCTGAGGATAAGAGGTTGCAGCAACTGAGTCCAAAAACTAAGAAGAAGAAAAAATCTCTGGTCCCGGATTGGATCCTTGCAACATTATCCCTGGGCCACGTCTATTCGCCTCCGTTTGTAAAATAAATTTGTAAAATAAATGCATAAGATGAACATCCATTTGCTTTAAAAAGGCAGCCCTGGTTCCTCCCCCCCCTCTTTTGCTTCAGAAACTCCCATTTTTGTTGAAAAACCCCAAGCAACCCTGACTTTTAACAGGGCTCCAGAACACATACAGAGTGCTTTTTGCAATCCAGAGGCTTGGCACAGCCTGGAGAAGTAAATCTTTTCTTTCTTTCTTTCTTTCTTTCTTTCTTTCTTTCTTTCTTTCTTTCTTTCTTTCTTCTTCTTCTTCTTCTTCTTCTTCTTCTTCTTCTTCTTCTTCTT